AATTGATCCATTATTTTTACCTGTCCTTATTTACACTGGGTCTCGCGGTTGATGGTAGCTCGTCCTGCTGGCTGCTTGTGTACAGAGGAGATGGAGTACGGAGACCCGTGAAAATGTCATTTGATAGCGAGTAGGCGTATCCACCTCGACTACGCAAGAGGATAGGGAAAATACGGAGGGCATGGTAAGAGAGTGTATACAGCAAGGGAAGAAAGAAGGAAACATGATACGTCATCCTCACAGCTTCGATGGGCGCTTGCTGCGGGAAACGGATCTTGCATACGGATGAGAAGCCGACTCGGGCACCAGATGGTCAATGTCGGCAGTGTTGATGTACTGAGGGCCTGCTTGGTCGAGAGAAGTGATGCCGATGTTTCTCATGGCTCCCTCCAGCTCATCTCTCATGACTACAGATAGTTATGATTAGCCGGGGAAGCGGAAGATTTACCTACTGGCCAAAAAGGTGGATGGAAGAAGAAGAAAATGTATGAAAACAAATAATACATACTGTCAATCAAGTGCTCGGCACCCTCCTGGCCGTAGTTTGATGCAAAGAGAAAGCTTCGTCCCATCCCGACGGCTGTTGCTCCCAGACAGATGGCCTTGAGGATATCTGTGCCCCGTCTGATTTCGGAGTCAATGTAAATCTCCATTCGATCAAATACCTCGGGACATCTGCGGTGCAACTCGAGCAAGACAATAATCGAGGCTGGGCTGGTGTCCAGGTTTCTACCACCGTGGTTGCTCAGCATGATACCATCAATACCCGCTTCCATGGCCATCACGGCATCGTCTGCAGACTGCACACCCTTCAGCAACAACGGGAGATGTGTGTGCTGTCGCGCCCACTTCACGTCCTCCCATGTAAGCCCCGGGTCAATAAAGCCGGCCATCACTCGTCCTAGACCACCGCCCTTCTTGTCGTTGTTGCCCTTCGCCGGAACCATGGGCAAGGTGAGGTTTTCATCTGCCTTGACCCGCTCATCGGCTTCTCGTTTCCCCGGCCAGGCTGCGTCCACAGTGATGCATATAGCCTTGACCTGTGGGTTGGCAGAACACTCATGGAGCTGAGCAGCAGATTTAGCCCGGTCACGGTTGACGTACAGCTGGAAGATAAACTGTGTATCGGGCGCTGCGTCGCTGATTTCCTTCAGGGAGAAAGATGCGTTATTTGAGATTCCCTGCATGATACCCCTTGACTGACATGCTCGTGCAATCCCCAATTCGCCATCAGGGTGAATCAACTTCACCATTGCGCTGGGTGCAACAAAGAGCGGCATGCTCACGCTACACCCCAGGATGCTGGATTTTGTGTTGACCTCTCGCACATTGCGCATCACTCGCGGACGAAACCAAATGCGGTCAAAGGATGACTTGTTTGCATCGCGAGTGATTAAATCATTGGCTGCACTTGAGTAAAAAGCCCATGTCTTTGCAGGGGCCGTCTTGGAGGCGACCAGCTGAAAGTCATGTGCACTGATGAGGGTATGTAACGGCGGCTTTTCATTCTCTCCAGTAGGCCGATTAGCTGCCTGTGCAGGTCCCTTCGACCATTCAGCGTCAATAGTCGACTGGTCAAGAATCCCCTTTAGTTTATCAGTCGAAAGTCCCTTGCGGATGACACTGGCGGAGTGGACTGCCGAATAGGCCTGCGTGGCATCATGTCCAGCATATTTGAGAATAACTAATGAGCAATCAGTAACCATTATCTATACATCCGGTGTAAAGTTACCATAAGTAAAATCTTTATATCTGCATATGATATGAAGAATAACAAGTGTAAAAAATAGAATAAGTCACTAACTTGATGGTCCGCCAGGATGCTCCTGGAGAAAGTCGGTAATATCCCAGACCTGATTGTTTACAACAATCCAACAATCAGAGGCTGTGTTGTGTTTGGCAATTGCTTGCGATGATAGCAGCTTGGGTGTAGACATTTTTTCTGTCAAGCCAAGAGGTTGCCGAAAAAATTGCTTAGCCCTCGTTGAAATACGGCCCTCTCTCGTCTCTTTATGTAAAAGATGAAAAGACAGTATTTGTCTCTCCCGAGCAAACAGCCAATTGGCCCACCACAAAGATCAATTGACTCAGTCGTGACGATAATGGAGGCAGACAGGCTGCTCTCGACAATGAGTCTCAAGATGTGTAAAACAGCCAATGCAGGTTCAAAGTCGCTGATCGACGAGGTTGAAGCCGTTAATATACTCCGTAAAAAGGCCGCAGCAATTATATCGTAAACTGATTTCGGCTCTTCCCCAGAAAAGAAGACAAATCGTCAACCAGACCCCGCCTTATCACCGTGATATTCCAAAATGTTTATATTTGAACACAACATGGAGTTGAGACCGCTGTTTGTCGGGGGCAGCCCGTGGAGCTTGGAAATCATCGCGCCCCAGCCAGTCAGGGAAGGGATATATACCTGCTGAAACAAAATAAGCTCGGTCGACAGGGTTGGCTGGCCATCTTCTCGCATCGCCAATGAACTAGCCGGTGAGCTAGTATTATTATTACACTTATAGCCCGTTGGCCCATTGTTAATACTAGTACTGTAGAAAGCATGCTTGTTGCTTCGTTTGCTCTTCTTTCAAGTTGCAGCGCTCCTTTTCTTGGTGGTGACCAGGAAATTACTATGGAAAAGATATGAAGAGATGTCTAATCTCCAGTTTCGCATTTCGCTGTCTATATCTGGGGCGAAACTCACCCATGCTGTGGTATGATATTGAAAAGCCGACTGGCCAGTCGAATATGAAATCGCTTTCAGGCCGAAAAATGATTGGTTCGCTGTGGCGACGCCCTTTGGACTTGGAGCGCTCTCCTGAGGACACCATGCATGTCGGGAAAACCCGATGAGCAGAGCAACTAGTTCCGTGATAGCATGGCTACCCGTACGAGCCTTGTACCATCCACACAGCGACCAGCGTAACTAATCATAGTTAGTCAACACTCGTATCTCTAGAGAATTTCGCGTAAGATTGAATTGATGTCGTCGATATAAAGTGCATCCAGTTAAGGAGGACGGATTTACAGTTGGCACGTGATATGTGAAGTTTGATCGGACTCCGCAGCCTTCCAGGAGTCACGACTTTTGGATTAGAGACCTGTCACCAGGCCACTCTCCTTGCCGAAGCAGGACGTTCTTTATGTTTAAACGCAGCCTGGCGAAGGCTCTTCCTCAATCTATACCAACAGTCCCGAGATTTTGCTTTTCTGGCGGAAGTACGTTCAAAGCGAAATCCCTTGCCTTGTCGGACTGCCTGAGAGTGACCAGCCCATTAATGATATCATGCATGAACAGCCCGATCTATCTCCCGTATCATTTGCGGGGAACGGCATAAGTTTAATAAACGACCATTCATACCTATAATAGACGTCCAATCAAACCGCCCTCGCCACTTGTCGGTGGTCACAGAAATGGGCGATTCGGCCAAAGAACGAAAATACATTGATGTACGCATGCATGCATATATCCCTCCAAAGAGTGCTATTTCACATACTTTATACCCGTTGATAACACTGTTACAAAATTGGCCGGAATGCTAAAACGTTATTTACTGTCTGGAGAATTAGATCGGTATCAATCTTGGAGACCCTGTATTCAGGGGCAAGTACCACGGTAAAAATGTCCACGAGGATGATCTACAAGATATAATCGATCGAGCCGTTGAGGTTGGCTGCCGAAAGTTCATGATCACTGGCTCGGACTTGCATGAGTCTCGGCATGCCGTGGACCTAGCCCGGGAACACTGTATGCACCTACCCGTCTTTGTTACGTGTACATCTATCTAAGCTACTAGTTACTGGGCTGACAAACATTATGCAGCAGGATTATGCTATGCTACTGTTGGCGTACATCCGTGTTCCGCAAAACTCTTTGACTCCTACGCTGGAGGGCCAGAGAAGTATCTGGCCGAGATCAAGGCCCTGGCAATGTCAGCCAAGGAGTCAGGACATGCTGTTGCCTTTGGAGAGATTGGTCTAGACTACGATCGACTGTTCCTCTCCCCCAAGGATCAGCAGCTAAAGTATTTTGAGGCTCAACTTGAAGTAGCTGTGGAGGTGCAGCTGCCTCTTTTCTTGCACTCACGAGCAGCTAGCGAAGACTTTGAACGGCTGCTCTCTGCCCGGTTGCCACAGCTCCCCAAGGGAGGATTAGTGCATAGCTTCACTGGAACAATTGAGGAAATGCAACGACTTGTAGCTCTTGGGTTGGATCTCGGGGTTAACGGGTGTAGCTTGAAGACCGATGAGAACCTGGAAGTGGTCAAAGCCATGCCCTTGGATAGGATTCAGATTGAAACTGATGGGCCTTGGGTATTGCAGTCCTCCTTCCTTTCTGCCTTCCGAGAATTTTGTTATTCGCTAAATCAACTTTGCTTTGTCTAGTGTGAAATCCGGCCATCTCACGCGAGCTACAAGCACGTCAAGTCTACGCTGCCTAAATCTTGCAAGAAAGAGAAATGGCAGAAGGGTTGCATGGTGAAAGGAAGAAACGAGCCGGTTGCGATTGTTCGTGTGGCCGAAGTGATTGCTGCGGTGAAAGGGATAACGGTGGACGAGGTTTGTGAAGCGTAAGTTGCCGACAACCCTGCCTGCCTTGCATCAAACTAAATCGTCGAATCTCGCTAACAAACGCTAACTTTGCTTCTAGTGCATGGAACAACTCGGTTCGCATGTTTGGACTTGGTGAAGTGGCCTGACCGCAGAATTAGAAAGCGATAGAATGCATAGACCGTTTCCCCGCCGTCTTTTTTATTATGCTGTTTATAAGTCCGCAGTATACTAGTTTATGTATGTCTGACCCGAAGGGGGGCGTCGGCGATAAGACCCATGCTGCAGGATCTCACTCAACCATGCAGATCGGCGTTCTCCAGGACCAGCGATCTGCACCCGATCCATGAAGAACAGCGCTGTTGTTGTACACGTAAAAGACAATTGTCGACGCAAGCCGCCGCTGCCCTGCTCAAGCTCGGCGGAGGCGAGAACCTCCGTCTTCTTTGCTCTCATCCCGGCCAAATAATGCCTCCTATCGTCTTTTTTGCTTTGCCCTTTGCCTGTCGTTTTTGCCTGCCATGCTTTTGACTTCTTCTTCCTTTTTCTGCTGCTGCATAAGCAGAAGGCTTGGCAGGAGACACGTGGTCGGGCAGCCTATCGGAGCGGAACATCCACTTCCGCCCGATGATGTAATCGACTTTAATGCCTGCAGAGGCCAAAAAGAAAGAAAGAGAAAAAAAAAAGAAAGCAGAGCAGAAGCAGGCATCTTCATCATCGACTCCTGCACTGGGTGACAGGAAAGTAAAGGGAGTCGGCAGAGTCATCGACAAGCGAACTGCAGCGGCAGTGGCGGATAAACCGCTACACCCGCCGTCCGCCTGGATCGTAGCATCTCGAACCCCGGGTTCCCTTCCTCCTGCGCTTCCCGCCTGCTTTAAAACGCTTCTTTTCTTCGCCTTGCCCAAAAATCCCGTTCACCATGGATCTTTCACGCAAGACCAGTGCTTCTGACTGTCCCATCGGCGGATAAGCAGTAGGAAGTCTAAGAACAGACGGCCTTCGGGGCTGCTCCTTTGCTTCTCCCGACTGCTGTTCTCTTGGTCCGGCCTCATCCCAGCTCCTAAATATATCAACTATATCCATCTCACCTGCGTCTGGACCAACTGACCTTGAAGACATCTCTGTACATTTCATCCCCCCTCCCCCCCAAAAAAACGTGTTCTCTTCTGTGGAGCCGACATTATTTTGTGAAGCCCATATACCCTCCCAGTACCAGGCGGTTCACTTGATTTTGTGTTTTTAAGGGGGTGCATCCTGTGGTCGTCGTTTGCTGCCCTACTGCTTCTTTTGCACGCATCTTACCTTCGGATAGCTAGCTTCATTCCAGATATCCCACGTAGGCTCTTTATTTTGGCATCGGTTTGGCCGCTGTAGTGACGACCAGTCCCGTGAATGCCAAAGCAAAAAGGGGAAGTCCTCCAACGCAAATATCACTGTTGGAGCTTCTGTCGTCGAGCCTGCTAAACAAGCCCTCCCCTTTTCGGCTTGGAGTCTCGTGACCGAGGAGGTCCCGTCCTCTCTCCCTCCCCTGGGAGAAACGAAAACACACACACACAACTCCTCTCTTCGTCCTCTCCCAACTTCTCCCCTCTCTCAGCCAGCACGCCCTCTTCCACGTCTCAAAAGCATACAGCAATCCTTCTTCTTGCTTCAGCTTGTGTACCTCTGTTTACGGTGTCCACTGTCTCCAGCTGGAAAGCAAAGGAGTCGAACAACGCGCAGTGTTGCTCGATATGGGTGATAAACCTGCGCTTAAGGCGAACGGTGTTGAAGATTCAGCGTTGACAGTGATATCCAAAGATAATGGCAAGGCAAAATCAGGTATTTCTCTCTCTCCTTGCCTTTATCATTGTTGTTTTGGGTGATGGAGATCCCGGTGGATGGTTCCATGTAGCCCGTGAGAAGTTGTTACCTGCACTTCAAGGACTGGAGAGCATATGTTGCTTGGCTGCGAAGTCCTGCCTCTGATTGTCTCTAACCATTCTCTCTGTCGTTTCCAGAGCAAGAAGTTTATGGCTGCGGCTTTGAAAGCGGACCCAGCCGTCCACCAACCCCTCATGGCATTGGTATGCCAAACAACTTCGCGGAAGTTGTCAAGGGCATCTACAGAAGTAGCTTTCCGCTGCCCGTTCATCTCAGCAGTCTCGCACAGCTTAACTTGAAGACAATCGTGTAAGTACTTCCACTTTGTCTGCTCTCACGGAAAATAGGGGGATCTTTAAGCATGGAGCTTGCTGACCACTTGGATCTAGTACCCTTGTTGATGAAGAGTGGTCCCCTGAATATTCGTCGTTTGTACGGGATAATGGCATCACCTCTCGCATCATCCCTATCCTAGCAAACAAGCAGCCCAATGTTTTCACGCCCTACAGCACTATTGTGGAAGTCTTGACCATCCTCCTTGATACCAGAAACCATCCTGTTATGGTTCATTGTAATAAAGGAAAGGTAAGTTTCTTCTGTTGACTTTGTTTTGACATTTCCTTTGGTATATGGTCTCAGTGACCTAACATGAGGTATCATGGAATATAGCATCGCACTGGATGCGTAATGGCCTGTTTCCGCAAAGCCCAAGGATGGACCTCTGTGGCTGCCATTGCAGAATACATCTATCACTCAGCTCCCAAGACTCGGACTCTGGACCGTAATTATATCCAAGAATTTGACGAGAATACGGTAGCAGACCTCGTTAAAAAGACCGGTGCTCAAAAGTGGCTTCCAACCTTCCCACCCATCAAATATACCTTTGATAGCGAGGATGAAGAAAATCCTCATATGAACGGTAACGGTGCGAAGAAGTCAGAACTTGCAACTAGTGCACCTCCAGTTTCATTCCATGGAGCAAACGGACTTCGACATACCAACAGCCTTTGAGGCAGGGTTTTCCACCCTTTACTTTTCTTTCCTTGTCTTTGTAAGTCATGGCATCCGTCCACGTATCTGACCTCCCCCAGTGTCGCGTACTAACATATGCGCCAGAGTCGATTTCAAACGAACGGAGTTCAAGTCGGAGCACCGGAGTTGGCATGTCTTGTGCAGGTCCCCAAAAATAGAGGTATCGGTGGGCAGAAACCCAGGATCAACCGGAAAAGGAGCATTTTCTTCGTGTTTCTTCTTATGGATCGGCGTTCGGACCTTTTCCTTGTCCTCTTTCTCGATGAAGGTCTTCGTTAATTTCTTGTTTTCTTCCACCTCTCCAGCTGGCTGACCTTACTCCTCTCACACCTGGCAGGCAAACATGATGTTAGGGTGTTCACTAGGCAGTCTTGTGGAGCAAAGCTCAAGATAATCTCCTGGTAGATACCCTTTCACCAACAGTGGAGAGATAAGTGGCCCAATAAAAGTTGAATAAGGTTGATATTAAAAAAAGGACTGAAGAGGAGGACTGGGAGGCAGTGTGTGTTTTTTTGTTGATGTCTCTTCTTCTCACGTTGTTTATTTCCCTTTTTGTTCATTCCCCTTCACTGGACGACTAAGCAGGATCCTCCGCTATGCGTGGATCTTTCTTTTGCCCCTACTCCTTTTCTTTGCTTCACACCCTCACGGCTTTAGTGGTTTGTACCCATATGTTGGCGGTCATGTTTCCCTTCTGCTAATTATCTTCTTTACCTTTGTATGATGGGATAGGGCTCATACAGGGCATTACTGGGATATGGGATCAAAGGGGTAATGGATGGGATTGGCGGGATGTTACTCAGTGCATTCATAAGGGCTGTCTGTTTATTGATATGTTTATCAAATCTGCTTGCATGCACGGTTACAAGCCTAGCAGATATTTATGATAATGTTCTAAGTCACATCCTCTTTCATTTAACTGTAAAAATAGGCTACAGCAGAGACTAGAATTCTGGTATGAAGGAGGTAGATGGTTTATAGCAACATCATCTCAACATCACTGCTATCTAATCTAGGAAGGGTATCTAACTCCTCACTCCTGTCAATGTCATCATTACAAGGGCTCCCCTGGCTCGCTGATAAAGGCAAAATAATAGGAGATGAGGATTGAAGAATCTCCATTGTTGGGTCGTTTCCTGCTCCTGGGTCCATTGGTATTCCAGTATTGCAGTCGTGCTCTTCTCCTGACCGCTCCAGTATAGGACCTATATCTACTTCTGCTAGTAAGCACGGGGATGAGGACAAGATACCATCTTGATCGGGCACCAGTCCGGCTATCTCTGGTGTAGTTATGAAGTGAAAACCGTCATTATCGATAATAGATTCTGACAGAGAAGGAGATTTGTACCATTCTTCTTGTTCTTCAGAGTATACTTCATCGGTTAACAGGATATCATCTTCTTCTTCGTCTTCAAATATATGCCAATCAGAGTCAGAGCAGCCACTGATAGCAACAAGAGCTTCCACTGAGTTGGCCTTTCGTAAAGTGTTTGCCGGACAACCCAATATTCCCTGCTGCTTTGATACAGTAGTTGCAAAGAGATGACTTCTTTTTGGTTTCTTGTTGGCAGAATAGAGCGAATTCTGTGTTTGAACCCATAGTATATATCGTAACATGTCCCTTATGCCTGACGATACTGGAGCCGTACCAAATCCTGCGGTGTAACTTTTGAATCTATAAATATCACAGATCTTGGAAGTCGTTGATTCGCATCTCTTAGAATCCATGCTCCTTATCATTGAGGCCATTCCCTTGATTACCAGTGGCACAAAAGAAAGTCGTTGAAACATAGCCTAGGGAAAACGGAGTATGAATAACCCTTTCTCTGCTTTCATTAGACAAAACGAACCACTTACCATCTTGTACCCCGGACTGAAAATAACCGGAGACAACTCTGCCAAGCTAACTTGGTGCCCATTCGACGGCATACTCTGTATGGACCTAGTATCAGGCGAGGGTATATTTAGGAGATTGAGGAGCCCAGAATTTAATAGGGAGATAATTGACCGTATAGGGCTGATATTGTGACTGCCAGAAACCGGGCATTCATGTGTGGACGATCCGTAATTTGAATTGCCAGAGAAGCGCGTAGAGGTCAATTCTTGACTGGAAAAGGGAGTGGAGTCATCCAATGATTCCCACCCGTCCGAGTCGGACAGCAACACGTTGAGAGGTCCATTGTAGTTGTCACCACTTTGTGGTAACAATATCGGAGAACTGGAGCCGTTCGAGAAGACAAGCTGAATGCTGATATCACGAACAAAGATTGTAGGTATCTCTGCGGGTGGTTGTATATGCGGGTTCCCGTCAAGCAATGCGCTAAGTGACGTTGGAATATTATTTAGTTCACAGCTAGTAGCTTGATCCCTAGTTGGCCTAGCCTGTAGAGTTATATTGAGAGTGTTTGTTTCATTCTGGTGAAGTTTTCCATCCTGCGTAGCATCGAGGCCATAGACAGACCATACCTAAGCAGGTTAGGATGGGTTCAACATATACAGGTTGTAGAAAGCATACCGATGGCAGAGTTAGTAGTCCTGAAATAGTCCGTAGTGTGCCTGGTATAGATACTTTAGTTGCCAGGGAGGTTTGTATTTTAACTGATATGTTAATTTGTATCGTAGAGTTGGAACCCCAGGAAACCCAAACGTCTTGTCTTCGGAGATTCTCTATAGATAGCTCTTCTAAACATGGTGAGTCATTGAGGTGTGCAATTTGAACGGAGCTGGATATATATAGTTGGATTTCATGATCTTTTTGCATATGGATGGTTGACCCTAGGTCAATGCTTTTGTAGAGCATGATGCCATTCGACTCGAGTATTACCTTGAAATCAATAGAGAACGATAGTTAGCACATCGCCTGGTAAATGCTCTACTATGTGGAGGGAACAGAATGTTGATGGTATTCGATTGCATGCCGAAAGTTGGAGGCGAAGGAAGGATACAGCTGCATCCCAAAGTGGAAATATTGAACGTCTTCCTTTCGCGCAGCGCAAAAAGGCCTTCCATCACCATATATCATCAGCCGTTAGCTTCAGGTATAATACCATCAATGTATCAAGATTTCCCAGCCAGCTATGTATATTTTTGCTTCTAGATCGTACTTTAACCCCTTTAGCGAGTTGCTGCGATACTTTGATATTCAAGATTTCTACAGGAGCAGCTCACTATTATGAGGCAACGTTTGGGACAAGTTCTTACCCAGGACGTATATAATCATAGGCAAAACGGTAGTCAAATTAAAGAGTTAAAAGAGATAAGAATATTAGAAGAATTCGAGTACCTAATTATCGTTAAGCGGGTCGACTCTGCCTAGCGGCAGGGAAGGCTTAGCCCGGTTAACTAGTTAGTTAACTAGAAACACGCTTGTTAAACCAAAAGAAAACTGCTGCTCTCGAGAACCCCAAGGCGAACACCACGCATTCAAATCCGGACATCGCGAGATTTTGTGACTTCTTTTATGTCTTCAAAGAGGTCCTGTGCCTCGATGACGAAGCCAATGTTTCTATCACGGTCTCCACCAATATGGAGACCGATGAACTTCGCTTCGTGGTCCATCACAAAACTTCCTGACTCTCCTGGGTCACCAAAGGTGTCACACTTCCAGGGAAGAATCACCGACGCGGTTCCCTGGGCATATTCTCGCTGGCCCTGAGCATTTGTGACCCATCCCTGTAGGTCAGCCAGCCTGATGCCATTTACGGTGCCACCCGTAAAACCGGTCCTCCGACCGACCTTAAACACACGATCACCTTCGTCCACTGAACTTGTGCCAATCATAACGGGCTGTGGTGGGGTATATACACGATATTTGCTGTTAACTGTTCCATCTGGTGGGATCTAATGATGAAAGTTAGTTGGCGGGACTTATTAGGAAACCAAGCTCGTGGTTAACCTAGAGCACGTAGGAACGACGTACCTCATTGACTGTGAGACGGCATTTATTGACATCAACTAAAGCCCAGTCAAGGAGCTTTCTCTGCTTGTTAACTTTGAAACCAGATGCAGCGTATACGGAGCCAAGATAACGCTTCTGTTGGTCAAAGGAAGTGGCAATCCGTAAAGTCTCTCCGATTTCACTAAGCGTGGCTTGTTGACGCTTGTATATAGTCTTTTGGGATCTTGAAACCGACGGGTCACCAGAGAGGATACGTTGACGTAGGTTGTCGGAAACATCATGTTGAACTTCATCGATTTCTTTTCGGTAGTGTCGGAGGGAGAACTCGTCGTCTTGAAGGGCTGGGTGATCTAACTGCAGGTTGTTGCTGTTATCTCCAGGTTTGATTCCTTCTCTGACCCATCGTTCATATGAAGGGTGAGATTCAGATCCTGCAACAACGCAATGAAAGTTTGTCATCCCAAATCTTTTCCATTCCTGTGAGATTGGGTGCTGTAGGTCAATAAACCCGCCGAATGTTGATGCAGATGTGGTGGATCCTCGAGGACCAAGGCTTCCTCCAGGTTTTGCTTTGATAGCCCAGTCGCAGCGATCTAAGACCCGATTGTCAAAAGATGACGCGTGCCAGATGTTACTGCGGCATATTTCAACGGCGACGTTATAGTGACCACGAGTGTCCAATAGCTCCACGATTCTATCTCTTACCGCGGTCCAATCGTTGGTAGACTCTTCTGTGACGGTAATGGCGACAGTGATAGGTCCTTCAAAGTGATTCACATGTCTTCGACGGACAACATACAGAAGAGTCCAATCGGATTCGGCGAGAATCTCGAGTATGACAGGCCGCAAAACACGCCAAGAGTCAACGAAGGGGTCAGAGACAGACACAGGGTAGCTTATTAGTTGGGTATTAGCTCTTGTGTCGATGATCTCGACGTTCAGCTGCATGAACCCCTTGGACCGAAAGAGCTGTAACATTTCCTTGCATGCTCTGAACCAGGAGTCACTCGTCACGACATGCTTTCGAGCAGTGACCAGTGCAGTATCGTACTTTTCAGCACTCCTCCTCGAAAATCGACGGAGAGGACCCACTCCAATGATGTCGATGTTATAGTTCTTGATGATTACTCGGACTGGAGCTTCAAGTTTATCTTCCCATGCGACGAGGAGAGGGTCGTTCTGCGTCAGGTGGTGATTGAGGGCAGGCAGCCTCACCAAGTGAGGGCCGCCGCTGCGGAAATTTTCATTGTAAACCTCTGAGTCACCCATGGCAGAAGGTGCTTCGCTTTCAGAGGAGCCTTCGGTTCTTCTCACTCGATTTGGTCGATAGGCAGGGATGCTTCCAGAGGACGAGGAGGGCAGTGGTGTCGGAAGTGCACCTGCATAGGTGACCTCTGCATTGACCCGAGGCTTAGAAAACCCATATGGCTTGCTGGGATGCGCCATACTAAGTAAAAAAGAAGTAAAAGCAACTGTATATGTTATCTTCAGCGGAAAGGCAGAGCTCGAGCCAAAAGTAAGGCAGGAGGTTCATCTTGACGAAATGATTTGAAGGAGAAAAAGACAGCAAAGGAAAGGAAATCGAAGCAGGAGAGAAACTCAGTCAAATGGTTTGAAGGAAAGGAAAGGAAGGAAAAGGAGATGAACCGGGCAAAATAGGCATTATATTTTATTTTAATAGGCCATGACGTCAGTGACTTGAAGTGAAAGCACGCCATATAAGGAACAGTTAATGATATCGCTTGTCACTTGAGCTAGCATATTATACTATGGCTGAGGAACAGGCAACCATAGCTAGTGACTTGGGTACGATCCATCTGTATATGTCTTTCCCAACTAAGAGGCTGCATTGCAGTAAGGATATCAGCCATGAGGGGAGAAGAGCTCATGAAGCCAGGGGTATAGTTATCTAGGATGGGTATATGGGTGACTGCAACACATGCCGCCTCGAGGTTTCGGGCACCAATGAAATTATATAGAAATCAGGGGATAAGTAAAAGAAGTTGTGAGACTTGAAGTAATTAAGTCGTGAGATTTGAGGTCTGTAGCGGAGTCGAGGCGGCTGTCTCCATGGAAGTCCCCAGATAACTTACGTAATTAGAACACTTTCTCCAATCTCTATTGGTCAGAATATATTAACCATTGGCTAGTATTGCTCCCGTTGCCAGTTGGACAAGAGAGTATATAACATTTCTTATTGGCTTAGAAGAGTAGTGCCTGTTTTCTCCCGGCACTATTATCCAATCATCATCGCAGGAGTCGTGCTAGTGCTAACTAAGCAGCCATGCGCCTCCTGCAGGGGGGCTTCCCGATCCTCTTCTTCGAGCCTGGAGCGGTTTTGATATCGTGATGTCGCTCTTTTCTCACGCCCAAGGAGAATGATTCCCACATGTAGCTATGAACAGAGGAGACAAACTAGATGTTCGCACAGCTGAAGCATCAAAATACAGCGAGGAGGAAGGCCGCTCCCTTCTTTCCCATGGATCTCACGAAGATGACGACTATTTAATTGTCGAGGAGCCTTCGTCAACCTCTGGTACGCCGTCGTCTCAGTCAGCCTCGACCCCCAAGATACCTCCCTCCCTCTCAACCTCCCCTACCGACCAGCCTCGAACGGGCCGAACGTCGAATCGCGTCAGGTTCGACATCCAAGACGATGGGGAAGAAGATACTGGCCAGACCTTTGAGAGTCGCCGTGATGTCGACTGGATTGCGAACCAAGACTACCTTGATGAAGAGACCGCTCAAGTACCAGGAGATCGCTCTCGCCAGGTAGTTCCGCTTCTTACGAACATAGAAGCTCCCAGCGTCACTGTCGCTACGTCGGACTTTATCCCTGAAGACCACCTTGAGAATGCTCGGCCCAGGAGTGGATTGGGAAGTGCCTTCATGAACATGGCAAACAGTATCATTGGAGCTGGGATAATTGGCCAACCATACGCTTTCCGTCAGGCTGGGTTGACCACGGGTATCATTTTACTTGTTATCCTGACTTGGATCGTCGATTGGACTATCCGTTTGATCGTGGTCAATTCCAAGCTCAGTGGAGCAGACTCTTTTCAAAGCACTTTGGAATTCTGCTATGGAAGAACGGGCCTGATAGCAATATCTGTCGCACAGTGGGCGTTTGCATTTGGCGGTATGATTGCATTCTGCATCATCGTCGGAGACACTATACCTCATGTTGTGATGGGAATAGCTCCATCTATCAGGGACATGCCAGTTCTGTGGTTGTTGACGGATAGACGTGCTGTTATAATTATCTTTGTTCTTGGAATATCCTACCCACTGTCATTGTACCGTGATATTGCTAAGGTATGTATATACGTTCTCTCTCCTCATGTTTGGTTGTTCAATAATTCTGACATTCTACATATAGCTGGCGAAAGCTTCGACTTTTGCCTTGGTCAGCATGCTAGTCATTTTGATAACCGTCATAATAGAAGGCATCCAGGTAGCTCCTGAAGCTAGAGGGGAGGTCAAAGGATCCCTGTTTGTCAATAGCGGCGTGGTTCCGGCTATTGGAGTGATCTCGTTTGGTAAGCCTAAATACGAGAGTGTTTATTGTTAGCTAGTGCGTTGCTAACTATGGAATAGCCTTTGTCTGCCGTATGTTCATATTGATGTATATTGATACATTGGTGATGTCACTAATTCCCTATTAGACCACAACAGTCTCTTGATATACGGTTCCTTGAGAAAGCCTACCATGGACAGATTCGCTCGTGTTACCCACTACTCGACCGCTATATCTATGGTTATGTGTCTAGTCATGGCGGTGGCCGGCTTCTTAACCTTTGGGTCAAAAACGAAGGGCAACATTCTTAATAACTTCCCTCCAGACAACGTGATTGTGAATATTGCAAGACTGTGAGTCGTCCTGGATCGGTCCTATCTTCGAACTTTAGCTAACCTGAATTCGATAGGTTCTTTGGGCTTAACATGCTGGCCACGTTACCCCTTGAGGCGTTCGTCTGCAGGTCTGTCATGACCACGTTCTACTTTCCAGAGGAGCCTTTCAACCTCAACCGCCATCTTATCTTCACTACCTCCCTGGTGGTAACATCTATGGTCATGGCTCTGATTACATGCGACTTGGGCGCTGTATTAGAACTAATCGGCGCAACAAGCGCTTGTGCCCTAGCATATATCCTTCCACCGCTCTGCTACATAAAACTGAGTAAGCAGAGCTGGGTGGCAAAGATTCCTGCCGTCCTTTGCATTGCGTTTGGTACTGTGGTTATGTGCATTAGTGTTCTTCAAACGGCAGCGAAAATGATCAAGCGTAAGTTTCTGTCCATCTCTTTAGGGAACAATTCCTCAAGCATCACTTTTTGCTAACATTATTCTACTATACAGATGAGGGAGGCGCAGTAACTTGTTGAAACTACTAACTGTTTTAATTGAGATTAGATGTGTTCTACTTCTATTTAACATTCTACCTTGTTATTACTAGATACATTGATACATATTTTCATCCCGTCCCGAGCCCAGGCTAGGATGGACATTGATATCGAATCCAATGTCTGCGTCCATGCAGTCTTTTTTGGTGTGATTCCACATCGGGGCCCCTTTAATATACGATTTTCGGTTGTACAATCTATGGTTGGAGATCTAGCATCTGCAATCGATTAGGTTATGTGTTTGTAATCAATGTTGTTTTCCTTTGCTTCTTTCCACTCTTTTTCATCCTGCGGCTATCCATATACCATTTGCTCTTTTCATTGTTTGCATGTCTCAGAAAGAGTTTTTTTATTATTGAATACGATCTCTCGCGATCTTTCTTCACTCCCTGATATATCTATACCTACTTTAACACACTATTATGCCATCTATTGCTTGCTTTTGATATCAACAGAGGAAAAGCTGGTTATGGTTCTACTGCTAGTTTACCCGGTATATCTATAGCCATTCTCCCTTGCTCAACATCCAATACCAACCGGCTATAAGACCCTGGCTAGCAGGAGGGGGGAAAGCAGTGGGAATTTATGTTGATTCTGTTGCACTCATATCCAAAACCCTTCTTAGGATACCCAGAAACATTATATCAAATGCCCTAAAGAAGACCACAGTCACTAATATCTAGTTAAAAATCTCCCAAAGGGCCCTTTCATCACTATATATGCCATCCCTTCCACCCCTTTTCTCTTTCTTTCTCCTTATTGCATCGTTTCAGCGTGCGTCGTCTATAGTGACCAGGATCTCTCACACAGACAACATCCAACCTCTCACAACCTCAGTTCTTCTACTTAACCTTATGTTTTGAAACTCCAGATGATCTTTCAGCCCTTCTGCAAAAACAGCCCTTTTCTTCTCTCTGTTCTCCCTGGAAGCACAGTGGCTGACTAGTTGTAAGTTATACTCCTTCATATATCCCCAATTACAGCGTCTGTGATGCTCCAAGGCCTCTGTGATATCTGTTGGCCCTCTGGTTTGAAGAAGTTCTAGCTCACACTTGCAGATATAGCCTTGAAAGGTGCTATAACTGGGTTTGTACTGCTGCATACCAATTGATATCAGTGCAGTGAATAAAGAAACTGGTGGAATCTCTAAGTATCAATGCTGACAGTCGAATATAGCTGTCTTTGCCTTTGATAATCTCGCTACTTTGAACGTCTTTTGAGATCCTGTATCTCGGCCTACACACGGAGCCTGCCAGGTAAATTGAGAGAGACCTATCATTTCCTCGAAAGGAGCATCAATTTGTTCAATTATAGACGCGTTTTGACGCGCCTAAACTTGTAAAAGAATGGCGGAAGCATCGGTTACGGATGATGAACGCGCCAATCGCATGAAAGCTCTTCAAATGGTGTGTTTCTCTATGACGGCCTCCCATCTTCGACATTGAGCCATATTTGACTGACTTGAATTTGTAACAATAAAGGCCGATTTGGGTACTGCTCGCCGTGAACATACATCAACTGTTGATCGCCCAAACAAGCTTCATCGGATTGGTATTCAGCAAATCGAAGCTATTAGAGACTCTAATCGCAAAGGGACTGAGGCATACACCCTTGCTGAGACCAACAGAGAGAAACTAAACAGCTGGGCAAGTGAGTATGCGCTGCTTCATTCTTTTAGGTCTGTATCGATACTGACTGTATATAACAAGCTTATCATGAAACGCTCGAGGAGAATATGGATGCGGAAAACCTTGATCCACTGCTGGATGGACAAACACATAGACTAGCCCTCGAGGCTAAGATCAAAGGAACTAATTTGGACTATCCTGCTAGCTCAAGTAGAGGAAAGAAAGCCACCCGTGGGGCTCTACACAGTGGCCGCGGAGGTGGTGCCGCCGGGTCTCGTGGCCGTGGTGGTACAAGGTATGCATCGGTCTATATCTACGCGTCAGCACTACATAACTAACGTAGCTTCCTTTAGCCATCAATCAAATACCCGGAGCGGAGACATAACAAAATCGGACCCAAATCGTTTGAACCCCACTGTATTCACCCCGACTAAAAAGGCTCTTGCACCGCTTCCACAGAGGCCTTTGGATCCATCCAAAGACTGCAACAATCCTCCAGCTACTCGTGGTAGAGCAGACAGAAAGAGATACGGGGGCTCGAGAAACCTACCCCCCGTTACGAAAACCAGGCGTCCCGTCTTTGCTGCTCCTCCGTAAGCTTTGACAATCTATATATCTATATTTCTTCGAGTAACTTAGCTCTCGTCACTAATAATATCTCTAGGAACATCAATTTCGAGTCACTGCTTCAGATGGAGATGATTTCATGGCAGCTGTTGCTGGTGTCCAATTTGCTACAGTTGCTAAACCAGTACAGCCACCAGAAACCCCCAAAGTCCCCGAAGCTCCGACTAAGAGCCAAGATGTGTCTCCCGTTCCACCTATGTCCCAGGAGTGTTCAGTTCCCTCTGATAACTTCCAAAAAGACGTGCTAGAATCTCCTCTGCAACAACCTCAGCCAGAGGTAAAGGCGGCTTTGCCATCCGAGCCCAACGCTGAGGCTGCTGCCCCAGCAACAAACCTTAAGCCGGCTGCACCTTTGAGAATAGATGTATTTACAAATCCTTCCGAGATCCGTGATGGTCAGGGAGCTGACACTATACCACTAAAGACAGACCATGGATTCGGTTCTTACCTACCACAACCACAGCGGCAATCTACAGACGCAGAAAATCATGATGCTGACGACCTCTTCCTATGCACATCACCTGAAGCCACTGCTGCCGCTCAGATTGAGGAAGACAAAACCGAAGGAGTCAACCTCAGTACAAGCCTTCTTGATATAAGTGATGGGCCTGAAGATACGATACCCCAGGCCCAACCTGCCCCCCAATCTGCTCCCCAAAGGGTCGAACCAAAGGATGAATCAAATGCTACCAAAGAAGAACTTGCAAAGCTTACGAAAATTCTTTCTAACCAGTCCTTACTTGACCCTGAAATCGTTGTCTATCTCCAAGAGAGAAGAGAACGCCTTGAAAAGGAGCTGGTGGAAAAGGAACTAGCCAGAAACCCGGAAGTTGTCAAAACTACTATCCACACTGCCGAGCCGGGCAACGCGAAGCCTATCCAGTCTGGCGCATCAAACCTTGTCACCTCAGTAGCTACACCAAATGCTCCAACTACTGCCAATCTTTCTGATATCACTAACCGCAATACTGGTGATGTGGTTAACCCAAATTCTAGGTATATATATTCTCAAACTAGACTAGTCTACGCATCACACTAACCCTCCGCAGTGAAAACATCAAAAATGCGCCAATGCCAGTTGAAGTAAAGAAGCCAGAGATTCAAAACAGCAGCAATAATACCTTTGATCATAATATTGTCTATGCAATTCCTGGAGCTTTTCCCTCCAAACCTCCCACAACGTCTCCTCACGACGTCCCCCTTATCATCGGCGACCATCTTCTTCCTGGAAGACCTATGAAGAAATGCGAACCACCTCGGCCTAGTGCTCCAGTCTATGAACCAAAGCTGCACCACCTTCCTGGAACTTTGAGTGGCAATAGTAACCAGCCTTCTACCTCAAACCAGGCCCATCAATTTCATAAGCCAATGATGTTCACATACCACGCAACTTCCGGTGGCACGCCTGTCGCAACATCTACTTCATTTTCTTATGCACCTGTGAGACCGTCGACTACAGGGAGCCAACCAGCCATCATTACTCATACTCCTCCTGTATCCCTCGTTTCTCCTACGGGGTCAGCTGTCCTCAATGCTCCAAAATCACGTTTCAAGATGAGAGATACCCCTCAGTTTCCAATTAGCGCTGCTACGATGCAATATTACTCGGGGACCTTCCTAGAAGAACAGATGAAGCAACCAACAACCCCCATCCGCAAGACAAACGAAAATATCAATCCTGCAATGGGCTTTGTTTCTTCACAGCCCATAGAACCTGGCCAAAAGTCGGGCGACCACAGCCGAAACCAGTCTTTTTCCCTTTCCCCTGTTGCAAACACCTTTCGACCAGTTCTACAGAGCCGTAGCCCCATCCCAGCTGCGTTTGGTGCTCCTAGCTCTGGCCGTTCTGCAACCAGCCATCACTCCAAGTTCTCATCCACTGCTTCTGAGACACCTCGTGAGCCAAAAAGTGTTTTTGTTGCTGAGATGGCAAAGCGTGGAGTGTCTGTTTCTGGAGCTCCAGTTAACAATCAACCCGTTGAACGGAAGAAAAGTGGAATGGAGAGCTCCAAGTATGCTCACTGAATTCAATTCTCAAGACCCTAGCCTTATGACCATTCAGTTAAAGGTAAGGACGAGGCTTACTTGCCATTATCTTTCAATTTTCCCTTGTCACTTCTAGGGCTACTGGTCCTGTCATCTAGCTCAATGATGCCTTGGATTGCATGTCTCGGATGTGTACAGCAGCCTCTTGTTGCTTTTCATACTCATTTTAGCTTGATGTTCCGTGAGAAACTGCATAGGACTCCGGTTACCTTTCCATGACGATGCCAACTGGTCCCAACTCTAGACCTTCATTATCAGTTGCCCGAGATTTACGAGAATTTCAACCCGAAAAAAAAAAAAAAAAAAAAGTAACTAATATTACCCTCTATATGTATTTATTACTCTAGCCTACGGCGACGGATTGCCAGATAAAAATCTAGAGACATGACAGAACCGCACAACCTTTCCAAAATTTGAAAGTAAAGACTGTATGGTTTATTCATGCCATACATAACCTGTTCAGGTAATGGGTATATACATAACCTGCTAACATGTGTGCCAACCGCTCTGCTAAGAAAAAATAATAATGATAAAAGAATGAGAACAGACAGGGCAAAATCCCAAATTATCCCCCAAAAAGAAACAAAGTGCCTAAACTCCGTAAGAAATATTGCCTATAACCGCTGCAAATTCGTAATAAGCCGCTCAAAATAAAGGGATAATGAGTGAAAAGATTAGGAATTAATCATAGGTCGTTCCTTACTGGCCCCGAATACAGTGAAGCATAATGCTACTGTTGACCCTGAAGGTTTTGTTTTGGAGCATTGGCATCCTCAACCCTCGTTCGTTTTGCCGCGTCTGCCTGATTCTTCGTCCGCTCGTTGTTCGGAACATTTGTGGTATCGACTAACGGCAGTCTTTTCCCATATTCGTTTTGCTGCTGCCCGCCATTGATAGGGCTGTTGTGATTTCTCACTGGCGGTGGCATGTTGGAAGCGGTGCTAGCGTTCCCAGTGCTCACTGCTCCCATGGATCGCCGTATTGGTGGTCGATAGGATGAAGTCATAGGCGGCCTACCTATTGGTCCATGACCACTGTTAGGTGTCGGCGCATTTGCCTTGGCGCCTGGTAAAGGGACCTTGCCAGCCTGTTGTTGTAAGGCCTGAAGAGACTTCCTGACGATAGGCGAAGAGCTAGTATGATCAATACCAGCAGTTTTGCGTATCGATGGGCTGTCAAACTGGGGGTCAAATACTGGTGCTGATTTTACAGCAGTATGGGGATCGTTTATTAGAGCTTCGGCAGCCCGAGCAGAGAAAAATCCAACTACATGGTCTTCTGATACCTTGTCTTCACTGCTTTGTGCGCCGGAGGCCTTATTTCCGTCGTTATTTGGGGCAGGATCATGTTTTGGTCGGCCTTGGTCATTGGGATGTGGGAATGGTGGACCATTTGGTTGCATAGTTTGTCTCCCGCTGGGGTGTCTGGAGTCATTATTTTTATCTTGTGCAAATCTGCCCGGGACCGGAGTTTTCGGGCCCATCATATTGTTCCTATTGATTCCATCGGCCTGTCCATTGTGTGAAGGAACAGTGCCATTAGCCGAAACCGAAGCTATGGGCTTTCTTGTATCAACTGTGGTCGCTACTTTGCTTGCATTTGCAAAATTTCTTGCATCTGTTGGTGGGTGAGTAGCTGAGGGACCATTTTGTCCCGTTGATCGCCTTGAATAATCAGGTTCCTCTATAGCTACTTCATCCGGATGTAACGAAGTGTGTTCCGCAAAATCGGCCTCATCAAATACATCGCCTTCTTAAAGTCAGCTTTAACTAAGGTAAAAAGGGTATCTGAGAACAATCTTACTTCCAAACTCGCCTTCAAACTCGTATGCGAGAGAGTCTTCTGCCGTGATATTCTCAATATCTGGAACCCGTGCAGGTAGATTTGACGGGCCATTGTTCTGATATTCTTGTTTGATAATCCTATTAGTAGGGGCTGCAGTTGGTACTTTGGGAGGCACAAAATCCACATGACGATGGAGGTTGTCCACGTCAAACTTCACCTATATCAAAAGGATATTATTAACGTAGGTAGCCTCGAGGCCTTACACCAATGGCACAACTCACTGGGGCAGCTTTAATTTTCACTACTTTGGAGAGGTATTCTTTGTCGTATATGCAATTTCCGAGTACATTTCCGAATGTCCTTAGAGTACGTTTCAGGGCGTCCGTGGTTCCTTCTTTCTTGGCTTTTTCAAACGCAGCAGCCTTCCCTTTGCAGTTTTCAATATGTCCATATCCTATATCCTGCCCAGATATGAGAATTAGTCAGTAACACAGGGGCGCGGGTATCATAGAAGACAAACCTCATGATACGTTCCATCTTTTAAAGTAACCCGCACGATCACGGATAGCCCTACTGAGACCTTACCAGTGGTAGGGTTCTCATCAGCCTATAACCAAGTCAGTACTCCTATCTATACAGGGGGAGGCGTTGGTTGAATAAATTCCAACTCACAAAATCCTGTGTTATATTTTGTATAGAGCTCGACCATCCATTGAACCCGAAGACTTCATTTGCAAGGTTGATGCATTTATCTGCCGTGATATAATGTACTTTTCCTCCTCCAGAAGGTCTGGATGAGAGAAACTCTGGGCCCAGTTGCTTGTTTAGCCTCTCCCTCAGCGAGGCAACTTCGGTAGGTGTAAACTCTTCGACTCGTCCGGTTCCTTTTAAATATGGATTCGCAGAGATTGCAGGATTGTCCCCAGGCCCAAGCCGATGTTGGTCTCCGATCCTGTAAGAGTTGGTCAGCGCGTCTATCGTAGCCTGCGATTAACTATGAAGAGAGCTCTGAGCACTTACGCGGGCATAGTGATCGGAATCGTCTAGTATGACAAGCACCGCCAGATAGTATGATGATTCAAAGCCGGATAATGACTTTCAGCATCCCAAGCTGCATCTCACGACATCAATCAAACGCGCTGATGTTTGCCTGGACGCGTCTAAAAAGCTAATTACGTAATGTAATACATTCGAGTTGGGTCTAGTTTAGGTACATCACGTGAAGATAACAACCTAATTATCCCCGTCCCCGCAAGAAGATCCGTCAACCCTGAAGCCTCAATATCAACATTGGATGGGAACCTACAAGCTACCCAGGTAGCTCATGAATGGTCAATTTGTTGCTTTGTAGCCACACAGTTCGCCGGCGTGTCACAGTTATTAGTATACGGTGCCTTCGTAAGCTAGCCATCTCAAGCTGTCTAGTTATACTAAAACCGAGTGAAATCACCATCAAGAAAATGGTCCCAGGACCCTCAGCCCACGATAAGGCTTCCACTTGGCACAAAACCCAGCTCTTCTAACGTAGCCCCAAAGTCTTCCTGAGTGAAAACCTTCTTTGGAAACGTCTGCGTAAAGCTATTTACCTGATTCCCTTCCTGCTGTAGAGCGGCGGCAACCTCAAAGAGGGTGGTATCAACAGGGAAGGACTTGATGACATTCCCGGATGGTGTCATCAGTCGTAGTCTCGCCTCTGTATATGCTGAAGCTGGCTTCGAGGCCACTGGAGCTGCAGCTGGTGTAGGCTGTGCCTTTTGTTCCTCCAGAACACGACCTTCTCGTTCCGCTTTTTCTTTCTCTGCTTTCAATCTCCGAGCCTGCTTGTCTGCTTCAATCTTGGCCTTTATCCGTGCCTTTGCTTCAATTTCTTCTTGTTTCTCACGCTTCTTTTTAGCTGCTTCCTTCAACTGTTCTTTTCGTTGAAGTTCTTCTTTCATATCCTGAGTCTCCTTCGTGCTCTTACGGCGGATTTCCTGATAATTGAACCTGGGGGTCAGACTTTGAAACATGAATGCCAAAAGAAAGAATTTATAAATCTAACCTCGTTTCTTTTTTGGTCCTTCTTATCCTGCTCAGACATTTTTTGCCGTTTTTCTGCCAGTCTTTGACGTAGCTCTTCTAGTTTAGCCTTCTTCTCTTCCTCCGTGAGCGGTGCGATCTCTTCTGTTGATTCTGAAAAGTCGACATGTTCTGTTTTAGAGGCATGGAATTCGGCCTGGCCCTGGCTTCTGAACCGTTTCCCGCACTCATTACAGACCAAGCTCTTTGGTTCTTCTCCAGGTTTCAGCTCTGGCGGCTCATCCGACGCTCCTGCTTCTGACTGTTTCTGGGCCGTTTCCTCTTGTATTTCTTCCAGCGACTTGTCTTGGTTGGCTTCTAGCCACTCGAGGGCCCCCTGTACTGAATGAAAAGACAATATGTCAGTATTAAGTATTTTTTTTTTTAAAAAAAAACCAAAATCATCCAAGATCTTAAGGAACTTGAAGGCTGATGCTGTGAACATGGGTCGGCCTGACTTACAGCCGCCGGATTTAGACACTGCTATTTTGGCCCGCTCTGGGTCAAAGCCCATGTCGGCTAGAAGCTCCAGGTCCGAAGGCATCCTCCGCGATGTTGTGGCAGCAGCGAATGTAGAATGGAGGACAGGAGTTGATGTTTGGAAGCGAAACTCTTCTGATGACGGAAGCGCAGGCTGATCAGCTACCGGTTGGTTATCTGCTAGCTAGCTAGTTACCTGCTGCTGGCGTAGTTGTTGAACTGAGGAACAGCCCCACTAAAGAATTCCAAGCAGTTGCCTTTAAGCCTGGCTACCTAGTTATGATGATCGCCCTGAAAGTAAAAGCAAGTACTAAGAAAACATTGATTTCTGGGGCTTTCTACAGAGTAGCTGCTAACTAACGAGTTGTTGAGCTCTACAAATATTTACTTCACTATCCAGAGCAGCTATGTACACAAAGCAGACGCCTATACAGAAGGGGCCACCGAAGACATCCGTATAGCCCATATAGCCCATATATTCCTTACTTCCTCCATCGCTTCCTGTATCATCTCAGGGTTAAATAAAGTGCGATAGAGCCTCTCCAAACAGACCTACCGGAACCGGGGCTCCTCTTATTCCAGCAAATATACCCCAGGTGACGAATATACAGTCGGGTCAGCGCTGGGATGGAACGGCCTTGCATAGTTGCTGCAAATATCCTGCTGGCGGTAGAACCAAGATCCAGCTCCCGTTGCATCGCTTAAGCAATCGGCAGCAACGCAGTGGATGTTCGCAACGTTCCGCAAATTGGGGATAAGGCTGTATATCAGACTCTAGTATCGTAGGAATCGTCCGGCATGGCAGTGACAGGTTTCACGGGGACGTGGACTGTATCCAATAAATCGGCATAGGACCGCAGACATAGCTTGTAGTTAGCTGTTTCTTAGTCGCGCTGGCTGTCTGTAGCTATGAGAGGCAACCTGTTAACTAGTTAGCGAGGTTTAGTTATGGCAGGGCTACCATGGCCAAGGGTCCAATCATGCAAGTCGATACACACGGCCCCAGGCTCTTCCCATGAGTCCCGGCTTTGTTGCTTGTAGCTTGAGGACCACCGCCACCGGTTGATGTGATGTCTGCGGTGGTCTTTAGTCTTTGCTGGCTGTGTGTCACAATTAATAGTGCCCAGCTGTCCCCCAGCCCTCTCTCCGCTCCACCAGTTTGAACCTATCACATGACTTTGTCTTACCTAAGCCACTCCCAGCGACATCTCGGGCTGTCTATCAACTTGCCAGCATCAAAAGATCCAGCAAGGCCGACTATACCTGCATCACCCACTTCACCACCGCTCTCCAGCCCGCGTTTCCCCCCAGATACCAGGTATTCCACACTTGTTCTAGTTGTCTTCCTGCCGCAGTCACCATGTCGGTCGAAATAGAGCCCGGCGAGCTCGGCTTCAAGCGTATGTATTGTCCTTTGCAGACCTGGTACAGCCCGCGATTTGTGCCTAACGCCTGTAAAATATAGGCCCATTCACTAAAGAAGTCACCGAGATTCTCTACTTGCGAAATCTTAACAGCGATCCCGTTGCCTTCAAAGTATGTACTCTGCTGCTCCAAGGCTGGTCGTTTTGACCGAGCTGCTTACGATTTGTCCAACAATATAGGTCAAAACTACCGCCCCCAAACAGTGAGCTGCACCGTCATACTGGCATATATTCCACCCTAATAGTGCTAACCGGATGACTTCAGTTACTGTGTTCGCCCTAATTCTGGCCGCATCGAGCCTGGGAAGCAAGTTGAAGTCCAGGGTACGCATCTCCGCAAATTTCCCAGCCCACCTCCCCCACGTCCTTGGTTGTGAGCAGTCATTAATCTGCGAACCGATAACAGTTCTCCTCCAGGCAATGAAAGAAGACCCTTCACTTGATGCCAAATGCCGCGATAAGTTTCTGGTCCAATCTGTTGCCGTCTCCGCCGATAAGGAGTTCTCGAATGTTGCCTCTATTGTGTGTACTGCACTCTCCCCAACCGAGTCGTTCAACATACTTGGAATTGTTAGGAACCTGGTCGCTTACAATTTAGCAGTGGCAAGATGTTGAAAAGAAGTCCAAATCTCTTATTCAAGAGCGCAAAATCCGGGTCAACTTCCTACCAAGTGACGACTCGCATACCAATGGAGTGGTGCGTACCCCGGGGGTTAGCGATTGACTTCCGTCATTCCACTCTACTACTTTTTCTAGAAGCATAGCTTCATTTACAACTTCGTGCGAAAATTATGCATACTGACTGTTCGATATTATAGGAGCCTGATTCCGAGCCACATGCCCAGTCTTCTCCCCATGCGCCTCAGTTTACCACCCCGGTTGTCCAGCGCACCGTTGGTAATGGCTCCACACCTCCTAAGTCCGAGGATATGAAGCATGAAAGCCCGCCCGAGCCATCATCTGAGCCGACCAACACTTTCGGCATGGCTACTTCCTCTACTCGCGTTGAGCCCTCTCAATCAAGTGACGACCTTTTGTCCTCCCAATTAGCGGAAGCAAGGCTGCAGATCAAACAACTACAACAGCAGATAGCCGATAACGAAGTGAGACAGAGAAAGAAGCCTGTCGAAGGTGGAGAACTTTCTACAAGCCAATCTTCTCTCAAGCAAGCACAACCTCCTACTCAATTGGCTGCGGCGGGTGGTGTCCCTTTGCAAGCCGTGGCTGGTCTCTGTCTTCTCAGTTTCTTGCTAGCGTACATCTTCTTCTAGAACCATACCCACCCTCATTTCGAATACTACTCCCGACTCCTGTTTCTTTCACACCTCCGACTGCTTTGCTTCATGATTGATAACCCCCTGATTTCTTCGCCCCTGTTACTTCCCCCTTTCCCAATCCCCCCTTCCACCACTAAGTTTTAAGTTCTGTCTTGTCGGAGTCATCACGTCTTTTTACTAGCGCCCTAATACATCTCAGACCGAAGAGGTTGGCCATGCACACGCAAGCGTTCCCTTTCCCTATTTCGCTCCAGAGCTGCTTCTGCTCCCAACCGGTGTATCATGGGATCCAAGTATTTTCCTATGTCCATTTTCCTTCCCACCTGCTACTTACTGTTAACTGTCTATTTCCTACTGTCTAAACTTTTCCTTGCTTTAGTATATTATGCTTTAACGGATCTTCTTTCTCTTCCCTACTTCATTCTTGATCTCCTCTGCTCCCCCTCCCATTAAGCCGGTTGAAAGTTCCGAGATTAGCCATCTTAACACTCATGGAAAAAGGTGATATTAACATCAGTAATGCTCTGTCAATGGGTTTCTTTGAGTTCTTTTCGGCATAGTGACGATAGCTAAAGAAATAAGGGCCTTTTTATCGTGGGATTCTTTCTATTATGTCTATCTGTACCACCATAATGACCGAATGGCGTACTATTTGTACTAACTATCCTCCCATCAAGATCTTGATGCGTTATGAGGAGGGAGCATCAACCGAGCATGCAAACGTCTGTCAACGTCTCCTGGCACATTAGCCGAGTGACGAAGCCTTTGCACCTGTTTCAGGAGAGGCATCCAAACAAAGAGTATGAAGTGAGAATAAGGGATAAAAGGGAAAGAGAAATAGAAAACAATATTATGAAAAAACAGAAGGAAAATTATGAGAAAAATGAGAAAGCCTCCCCAGAGATAAGCACCCAAGAAAATGTGATAAGAAAACAGATAGGATGAATGAGTATCGTGAGACCGTTAGAAAGCAAAGGAAATGTAGGATGGTGGAAACGGGTAACTAGAGTGTATTTGGAAGATGCGGTAAAAAGGAAAAGGAAGAAAAAGGGGGCCGGAAAATAAAGTTATAGCAAGCCATTGCCACATGTATGAAGGCTGGGTGGGAAGCGGAAAAAAGATGTATGTATCCACAGAGCAGATGAAAAAACTCGATCTAGTATTTTAACAGATGGGTATCGTAATCGTTTCATTAAAAGGTTGCTCAAAACGTTGTCTGCTTTCACGACGCAAGCGGGGAGGCAAATAGTGGAAAGCAACGCCATTTGGGAGGAACGGAAGGGCCTCAGTCCGTAAAAGGAGAGGGGGGGATGAATTGAGTAGGATTACCATGGCCCGACCTTCAACGGCAGGCCAGCTCCGTAAGTGCCTGACATGAGCTGTTGACGTATTGACGACATGTCGCCTTGAGAGCTGCCGGCGTTGGAATTGCACGGGTTGCCCACGTTGCCACCGATCCAGCCAAGGCTCTGGTTCAATTCATTCACGGCGTCCTGAAGTTTTCCTCCGGCGGTCTCGTTGTGCTTTGCAAGCTTTTGATCCCAGCCTCCGTACTGCAGTTGGATACCGCCTCCACGCTTTGCTGCTTCCCTGATTACTAGACACCATGCTTTGCTCATCTCTTCATACGCTGCATACTTCTCAAGATTGTGTTGTGGCGTCGTCCACCGTGGAAGTTGATGTATGATATCTGTAGCACCGTCTAGGTAACTTAGTGACGTTGATGGTTGCGATTCATTTGGCGGGAGAAAATGGGGTGTAAAGTCGTTCAGAGCTTCAAGGAGGTTGGTAAGATGCTGGCGGACTCGATTATATGCATAGTCGGAGGAAGGGTTCCCGCCCAGCGGGAAAGAGGACTGTAGAGTGGACTGGTAGTTGTTAAGGACTTGGAGGGCGGCGCTGACGCTGGGCCGGGGGGCAGTGTGCATGACCTCAGAGGCTATCTCGGGATGGCGATCACAGAGCGACCTCAACACCGACCGCAGAGCATCTGTGTCGAGCGTCTCCATTAACCGAGGGAGAGACAGCGGCCGGCCCGAAACGTTCGGCCGTGGTCGTTTGAGGTGACGGGGAGCTAACGGCCGTGGATGGAGGGCAGGAGACCCTGAGGGCGATGCAGACATGCGAGTATCGTCGCTCGGGAGACTGTCATCCTCAGCCTTTCTCTTCCGGTTCACTGGGGCGTTGGTCGATGACACTGTAGGGAAGCAGTCAAGTCAGTCAGACATATCGAACTCCCATCTTATTGCTTTCCTGTGGGTGCTGGGGGAGGAGGCGTGGCTCGGAGTAAGTCCTACTGGAATATGGTGCAGAGCGACAAGAGGTCTCGTAAAAGTGAGGAGGAACAGGCGGTGTGGCTACCAGGCTGTTCATGATCACCGAGGGCTGCTCGGCAAGGAGTGACTGCTAGCGAGAGGCCGTGATGCAGATGCTGGGTGAGTCTGCGGGTGTTGGCCCTTTGGTAGGAGACAGGCGTCGACAAGCACAGGAAGGGAGGACGAGCGAAGAGCGAGGATGGAGAAGAGCAAGTCAGGCGGTTGCGTTGAGTTGGCAGCGAAGAAAAAAAGGCGACCAGACTTAAAAGCGACGCTAAACTCACTAAGGGGAGCGAGAGGGCCCGAGCTTAGCTCCAGCGTGACCATACATTACACAAGGCAAAAATACACACATAACACTCAGAGAGAGAGAGAGAGATACAGATACAGATACTCCGTACAGACTCATGCACAGGAAGAGACTGGAGGTATTATTAATATTTGTTAAGCTATTCCTACTGCTGGCGCTCCATGGGGGTGGCGACGTTGGTGGCTCGGGTCTTTGGAGTAAGAAGGCTCTTTGTTCAAGGACTGCTGTTGTGGTAGCTATGGTTACGGCTGTTTATTTTTATATTATTCTTGGGGAGCCACTGGCCGCTTACTGACTGGCGTAACTAACAGGGCATACGGAGATAGGTATGGCAGGCTGGATTTTGTGATTTAGAGGAAGAGGGCGGCCTCTTGACTTTCTTACTGTTGCATGGATGGCTGGTTCGCCTTCTCTGAGGCGAAGTCATCCTCGGCCTGGCCAAACAGACGGCAGAGTCAATATATATATGTCTATCCCAGCCATTAATGATGATGTGTTCTCGAGCATCAATGGATCTTCCGTAAGCACACTAGCCTGTCTGTGATAGGCTTCAGTTTCTTGCGTGTTACGCACTTTCTCGGCGATCAGAACAACCTGCTTGTGTCTACCGTTGGGTTATATTTCTCTGCCGGAAGCATAGAGATCCCTAGTTTTATGAAAAGCCTTTATATATGCACCTTTGATACTGCGGTTAGAAGACAAGTTCTCAGCCTGGGTAATGGTGTTCCAGCCACGACTAATCTATCGCCACCAAATACTGTGCATTGGGGAATCCTTGGGATTCTATAAAGCGCCTATAAAACAAGAATCGCTCTCATTAATCTCGGTGTAGATAGACAGCCTCTCTAAATATTGTCAGTATCTATACCCTTAATTATCGCACCTATCTCCATACATCCAGTCTCTAGTGTTACAGAGTACTTGATCTATATAGATACAGACTCACCATTCGCTGTCTTATCCCAAAAGTTACTAAGCAAACATATGCATTGGGTAATTGTCCTGATACTACACCTGACATCTCCTTCTATATTCTCGAAATTCCTTTCCCTTTCCCTCCTTTCCACAGCCAAACTTCTGCTCCTCTTCATGTGTTATTTAAACTTTTTGTGATACTTTTTACTCATATTACGTCATAACCTTAAATAATAAGCTTTTCACGGGGTTCTCAGCCCGAAAACTTATGACTAAGCAAAGTTATTTTTGTCAGTTTTGCCTTTTTGCCCCTGGAGATGATTTCAAAGGGAAAGCACAAGAGCAGAAAAGAAAAGAAAAAATATCAAGGTAATATTAACAGGCAGTCATATATTGCATTGCCCATGTAGCGGCATGTTTCATTTACTTTTGCTATTATACGGGGAATGCCGCACACCCAACGCCACACATGCATTCATCTGTGTACAGCCAGGAAAAAAAAAAAAATCAGGTCGCAGTAAATGCAAAAAGCCAATAACTAGCAGCCAGCCAATAATGATATCTGGTAACAAACTATCACAAGTAGAGTGACTGTGCGGCAACAATGTCTCGTTTTATGAGTGTGAGGGCGGTTTCGAACTTAGTTTCCAGGTCGCTACTTCCCATCACTTTAGCCGCTTGTGCCATTTGCCGCATACATTCTTCAAGGCGCCGGAAAGCTCTGATCAAACTTCCCTCGTAAACTTCGGTCATTTTACTTCATGAGAAATAGGTAGTTAGCTGTCTGATTGAACTTGGCACGTTGCGTGGGTTTCGGGACATGGAGAAGCTTACCAGATATCTGCAAAGGATTTGCCCTTTGCCCACTCGAACATCACCTCCATAAGTTCCCATCGGAAGCTCTTCACGTATTCGTCTTCATTCACAGGCAGTTTGGATTCCTGGGAAACTTTAGCAATGATTCTAGCCTGGGCTTGGATATCTCTGAGCGGTTTGGCGAGCTCCTCATTGGTAATGGCAGGAGTGTCTTTGGCATTTTCTTCGAAGACAAATACGCTTAGTGCTGCGGCGCATTGCTCAGGTGTGAGATTATTGAAGAAACCGTTGAACAACAGCTCACTGAGCATAAGTTCGTCACCACTGCTGATTTCACAAGCAACTCGAGCCTTGAGCTGTACGACTTCATCTTCATTGATGAACTGGAACCGGCGAAGTACTCGTTTACGGCATTTCAACTCATCCATCTGGATTATCGACATGGCCTCGGTGATCTTCTTCTTCGTCTCCTTGATTTTCTTGACAAGCTCCACTTTTGCGGCATACTGGTCGTACAATTCTGGAAGCCGAGGAGAGTTGTGTAGCGGGTTAGATATTAGGCGTGACTCCAGAACCTCGATTTTCTAAGTTTCACTTTAGTACCGGCGTTGCAATGAGAGAGTGTGGGAGGATTTCATACCCTTAGTAATCTCTTGAACTCATCATCCGTAATGTTCATATTTTCAATGGGGTCAAGGAGCGCCAAGCCGTCAGGGAAGCGTTGCTGGATCTGCATAATCTGCTTCTTGACGGCCTTTCGGCTTTCTTCTGGTTTTAGGTTGCTGGGCATTTTGATTTTCACCATAGAAATTGAATGTATACAGTTGAGGAGGACGGGAACAACTTCCAGCTTCGAAGGCTCGCCCTTGTTAGCTGGTTTGACACCGGGTGGCAAGGGCTGAACACCTTTTGATTTTAGGAAAGAGTCCTCTGAAACTGGTAGTAAAACGTCTACTATATAGCTCTCACGAGGCTCGTACTCTTCACGCGGGGCGTTCTTTGGTGGTTTTCGCGCTTGGCAGTTGACTACCACTGACCATCCGAAATCATAGTCCTGGTATTTGATGTGGATTAGACGTCCAGGTTTGAGAAACGAAACGCAATAATTGGGATGTGTTATCACAGCTCTCATATCAGAGTTGTAGGTATCAATTTTCTGTCGAAGGTCATAATATTCTCGTATTGTGCCTTCGTCTTCAATTGTCATCGCATCCCTAGAACTTTCGAGCTCAGCCAGTTCTGATGAAGCTCGTTAGCAAATCGTTAGGTAAGATCATTCCAGGGTATAAAATATTCACCTTTTTCCAGACCAGAAACACTAGCTGTATTTTGGAACTGGTAGAAACACCGTTCAAGCATGAACTCAGGTGATATCCCTTCCACACGAAGCAAATTGAGAATCATATTATAACCAAGATGGAAAGCTGAATTAAGCTTGTCCTGCTCTCCGCGAACAATATCCTTGGCAACAGGAGGATCCATCTCTTCATCAACCATCATGATAACAAGACCACGGTCATCAAGGCCTCGACGACCTGCACGTCCGGACATTTGGACAAATTCCGAGGACGTTATCCATCTTGAGCTGACACCATCGAACTTGCGAACGCTTGTGAAAACAACGGTCTTTGCGGGCATGTTAAGACCAATAGAGAATGTTTCAGTCGCGAAGAGAACTTTTATTAGTCCTTCTTGGAAGAGAATTTCAATGGTTTCCTTGAGGATGGGCAGGAGACCTGAGTGATGGACACCAATACCGCGTCGGAGAAGGGGTAGGATATGTTGGATCTGGGGTAGATCCCTATCCTCTTCTGAGAGGATCTCAATGGCGCTGTTAAAAACCTTAGAGACCATCTCCTTTTCAGAGTTATCGTTGAATGCCAGTTTACTCATCTGTAGAGCAAAAGCCTCACACTCTCGTTTGCTGAAACTGAATACGATAACTGGATGGTAGTTTTTCATCATGATCATCTTGACGATTTTGTAGATATCAGATGGCCCATTCTTGTCTCCTCCTTTATTTGTCTTCTTGTCTTTCCCTTTCCCTTTCCTTTTAGCCATGGCATCCGCAGGGTCTGCTCCTTGCCTGTCTGCAATCGAGCTCATGGCCTTTTGGAAGTTCTCCTCACGGAACACACCTTTCTCATCAACAACAAGATGGATGCCCTCTGCTCCGGCAGGGAAAAGATAATGTTGAAGGGGGGTCGGACGGAAATCTGTATATACAACGTGGCATGGCTGGTTGTGCATCTTGGTAACCCACTCTGCAAACTGCATCGCATTCGGGATGGTAGCCGAAAGGAACACATATCTGACTTTGTCTGGCAGTAGGATAATGGTCTCCTCCCAAACGACACCTCGGGCTTAAGCAGACGTTAGTCATGTGCATTGTGCAAGAACGGTAGGCATGCTTACTCTTATCTCGCATGTAATGAATCTCGTCAAAAACAACCCAGGCGACCTCACGCATAATCTCGGAGCCTCGGTATAACATAGACCGCAAAATCTGCAGGAAAATTAGCTCCGCGTCCAACTGATTATTCACACTGTGGTCCTACCTCAGTAGTCATGACAAGACAGGTAGCCGTGGGATTGATGGTGACATCACCGGTCATCAGTCCAACATCACCAAACTCAGCCGCAAATTCTCTGTATTTTTGGTTACTCAGAGCCTTGATTGGGCTCGTGTAGATCACCCTCTGGTTATTCTTCAAACACTGAGCAATAGCATATTCAGCAACCACAGTTTTTCCAGCACTAGTATGCGCGGAGACAAGGACACTCTCTTCCCGTTCAATAGACGCAATGGAGACTTGTTGAAAGGGGTCGAGGGTAAAAGGCCACACCCGCGCGGGCTTCTCCGGCGGCTTGTGCTGGGAGATGGGGATGTAGTCGTAGCCCGCAGGTAGGGCAACTTGATGTCGTACTTGATGAGATAGCACCACAGCTTTCCCATCTTGCTGACCCTGAAATCCAGCAGACGCGGCAACTTCACGAGACTGTTCGGTTTCAAAGGTATCTGCCACCACTGGCTCTGGTTCCTGGTCAACCCGCAGGCGCTTTATGTCTGGCTGGTCATCCTGGACTTCTGCTTCTGCAGCATCACTCTTCTCCCCAGCGGGCTCGACCGGCTCTGGCGACTCCGTTCCGTTGGCTGTCGCTACATTTTCTGACTTGATGTCTCCGTTTGCTCGTCGCTTCTTGTTCCTGGCCTTTCTAGGTCTGGGGGGCTCGTTGGTGGCATCCTTCAAGCCCGGCTTGTCCTCGAACACGTCGAATAGGTCGTCCATTGCGCTAAGAGTCTAGCAGCTTCAGCGCCTATAAGCGTCTCCAGAGCTGCCTGCGCCTCTCTTTTGCACTGCCGCAGCGTCCCAATTCTTGCTTTTCTCTCCCTTGCTCTTCTCCCAGCTATCGGTTTGCAGGCGCATGTTCTACCCTCCCTCCATCATAAATTTTAAAGTTCCAAATGGATAATAAAAAAAAAAAAAAAAAAAGCTATCGGACTTAACTTACTCCGTTACCGGACTACCTCATCTCATCCTCACGTGATGCTGCCAGACTTGCCTCTTTTTGGCGAAATCGTTCGATGCGTTCCAAGCTCGCCAGCATCTTTTATTCACATTCTCCGAAACATCGAACGACACCAGCACCGCCGACAGTCAAGGTACGCAGCCAATTCGTGCTCAGGGATAGAGACACGCCAGCTGACGCCTTCTCCAGATGTTTGCCCGTTCTGCCATCCGCGCCAACACGGCCGCCTCCATCATTAGCCGTCGAGGCTTCCACTCAACTCGCACCCAGTTGGGCTCCGGCTTCCACTACCCAGAGGGCCCTCGCTCCAACATCCCATTCAACCCATTGACCAAGTTCTTCTTCCTCAGATACTGGGGCTTCATGAGTTAGCCTTCCCATCTTCGCTCTCTGCAATGTCGCCTGCTCTTTGGTTAACCTACTGAAATAGTTACCGGGTTCACTCTCCCATTCGCCATTGCTGGTAAGTTCCAACGCATGCTCTTCGACGACACGTCTCAAACTGCTAATCACTGTACGTTATTCAGTCTGGCAAACGAAGAAGTCCCGTTAATTTCGATTCCCTCCTTGTCCTTCTACGCCGAGTCCTTATTGCTATCCTAGAATCTCTCACAAATACCCCATCGCATCATGGGTGGCTCGGAATACCTGGTCAGCTTGTATAAAGATTAAATCAGAATTAAAATATTGTATTACTTCCGATATCTTTTGCTCTCTCTCTATATATACGTTTATCTTGTCTCTAAATTTGCTCCTTGTTGGCTGCGTACTGGATAGTTGACTCTCGGCTCTGCCCGTTTGTAGTTTTGATGTCTTTCGAGATGCGATCATTGGCTGATCTTGATGGACACAAAAAAGTAAAAATTTCCTGGCAGCCAAAACCCATACAAACCACCAACTAGAATGAATATCAGTATAGCCGACCGATAAGCATCTGCAACATGATTACATGCTCTATATTGATTACTGCATGGTAAAGATTCGTCTCCGGTCACGATGCGCAACCTCAGGAATATTCGTTTTTCGGAAGTCCCGCTGCTTGGTGGGCTTCCGTTGGCCGCCACTGCGTGGGATGCCTCAACGGACTCGCTGATATGCGCATTTGGTCCGGCGGAGGATAACGCAGTGATCGAGCTGAAGAGAAAGCTGCAGCATGAAGATGCCAATCCTGAGGCGCTGCCTGGGGACATGTCCCTGATTGCATCCTGGGACGCGCCTTGCCCAAACCCGGAGATGAAGTGTGATCGCATATTGTCTTTGCAGTACTTCCCCGACACATTGATAATATGCCTGGTGCTTGAAGGCGGAGATATCATTGTCGTTCGTGAAGAGCCTCAGCCAGGAGAGGACAAGATTGAAATTGTTGGCAGCGTTGATGCCGGTATATCTGCTGCCGCTTGGTCTCCTGACGAGGAGCTGCTGGCCATCTCTACAAAGGCAAACACTCTACTCTACATGACCAGAGACTTTGAAGGCGCTGCGGATATTGCTTTAAGCCAGGAAGATCTCAAGATATCCCAACATGTCTCCGTGGGCTGGGGAAAGAAAGAGACTCAGTTCCAGGGGAAACGAGCGAAAGCTCTTCGAGATCCAACAGTGCCAGAGAAAGTTGACGAAGGAAAACTAAGCGAGTTTGATGACGGGAAAAACACTCTCAGCTGGAGAGGCGATGGTGCATATCTCGCTCTTAATAGCATTGAGACTGGCATTCGTCGAGTTATCCGTGTCTATTCTCGAGAAGGTGCATTGAATAGTGTGAGTGAGCCAGTAGATGGACTAGAGGGTGCTCTAAGCTGGCGGCCATCGGGCAATCTCATTGCTGGCATCCAACGGCTTGATGATAGGATCGGTGTTGTCTTCTTTGAAAGAAACGGGCTGCGACATGGCCAGTTTACTCTTCGGTTATCAAAGGAGGAACGACTAAGCTGGGCATCCAACATCACTCTCGCCTGGAATGTTGATTCAAATGTGCTTGCAGTCCAGTTCAAAGATAGGATCCAGCTTTGGACAACAGGAAATTACCATTACTACCTCAAACAAGAAGTCTCACTATCAATCGATGGGGCATCACCACTTTGCACGTTCCGCTGGCATCATGAGAAAGCGATGCGTTTCACCGCAAGCTCGCCAAGTATGTATAGTTCAAGTATCCTCTCCTCTGTTTGGGTACCAAGAAAATTGCTAACATCGTTTGAAGCCTCGTTGATTGATACCGATTGGGTATTTGAGGTTGCGGCCGGTTCGACCATCATTCCTAATGACTTTGGTTCTACCGCTGTAATCGATGGATGTAGGTCAAATATACTAGTCTATCTCTAGAAGACAATTTATTAACCTATCTGTATAGGCACCTTAAAGTTGTCTCCGTTGAAGGTAGCAACAGTGCCTCCCCCGATGGCACTTTGCGAACTTGCCCATGACTCAAATATTATTGATGTGGCGTTTAGCAAGACGAGCGCAAAAATTGCTATCCTCAGCGCAGCTTCATTTACGATATACACTTGGAATCTCAAGTCTACCTCTCCCCTTGAAGCAACACTACACTCCTCATATGCCATTTCTCCGTCCAGGCGCCCTAGGCTAATCGCTTTTCTTGGTGAGGACGATATCTACGTAGTAACGCAAGATGAATTTGGCGGAGAAGTAGTTGAGTGGACAGGACTACAATCGAATGCTTCTAAACCCGTCTTTCTTCCTGAGGAGGGAGTTCATATATCCTCTATTTTCCCCGATTCTGAGCAGGAGAAACTTTGGATTGCCCACATATCTCCGAGCAAACGAGTCAGAAGTTATAGCTTTGTTCGAAACAACGAAGCCGAGGACTCTTCCGTTGTTACATGGCAAGAGGGGCCCGCAACCGACACAAGCTGGGCCCGTGCTATCCAAGTTCCTAGCGGGGATGTAAGTGAATTATACCATCCAGAATGTTGAACATTTTAGCTAACTTGACGTAGGATATATTGTTCACGCTTTCTCGGTCCGGAGCTCTGTATGCCAATAAGCGATTGCTCACCAAAAGCGTTACATCTTTTCTCCTGACTTCTGCACATCTGATCTATACAACTGCGCAGCATCTACTTAAATTTGTTCACATAGCTAAAGTTGATGGTATAGCCAAATATCCTAACCCAGTCAAGCTATATATATACATATCTAACGATTTGTTACAGATCTTGAAATACCAGGGGATACCCCGGAAGAGGATGAGAGGTGTCGAAGCATTGAGCGTGGAGCCAAATTAATTACTGCCATGCCCTCTAAGCTCGGCCTTACCCTACAGATGCCTCGAGGGAATATAGAAACAATCTACCCTCGAGCTTTTGTCCTGGCAGGTATCCGTGGCTACATTGAAAACAAGAAATATAAATCAGCCTACCTGGTTTGTAGAGCACAGATGGTGGATATGAACATCCTCTATGACTATATGCCCGAACAGTTTTTGGATAATATACCGCTCTTCCTTGATCAAGTGAAGAGGGTCGAGTTCATTGACGAGTTTCTATCTCGTCTAAGGTAAGTTTATTATCCGTCTATGTTGCCGCATGGCCCAATTTATCTAACCACATCTCATAATAGAAACGAAGATGTAACAAAGACAATTTACAAGGATACTCTTAAGCTTTCGCAGCCGACAGAAGTCTCTCGAGGCAACGCTCCCGGGTCAGATCAGGCGCCGGCTACCTCCTTTGGTAAAATTAAAGCTGAGAACAAAGTGAACAAGATTTGCGATGCATTTATAGCCATCCTCTCTCACCGAATTGATACCAATCTTCAAAATCTTGTTACCTCGCACGTTTGCAAGTCTCCCCCAGATCTTGATGCTGGGCTTAGCCTTGTCGCCAAATTACGCGGTACGTCCAACCCCTTCATACTGAATTTCGTGGTATCTAGCTAACGCTGAAACAGAACGGAACGCAGAACAGGCAGAGGAAGCAGTAGAGCATATGTGCTTCCTTACAGATGCCCACCAACTTTTCAACTATGCACTAGGTCTATATGATCTTGAGCTTACGTTGATGGTGGCTCAGCAAGCTCAACGAGTAAGTGAATACATAGTATGAAATCATAAGGTGTTATACTAATTGTATTGTAGGACCCGAGAGAATACCTCCCATTCCTTCAGAAGTTACATGGTATTTCAGAGCTTCAACGCAAGTTTGAAATTGACAATCACCTTGGTCGTTTCAATAAAGCTTTGAAGACTCTACATGCATTGGGCTCATATGATGATCTGAAATTGTACACAATCAAACATGGCCTTTATAAGGATGCATTGGAGTTGTATAAGTACCAGCCAGAGCTTTTGTGGGATATGACTCAATTGCACGCAGATTACCTATACGACCAGTCAAACTACAAAGAAGCTGCTATCGGTGAGATACCCTCCTTCTCTGTCTCTAAATAAATGCTCATTCTAATTTTTTCTCTACAGCTTACGAATCTCTTGGAATGTTCAAGCCTGCTTATGAATCGTACAAGCTGGCGCATATGTGGCGAGAATCACTTTACTGTGCAGCCTTAGTTCCGCTATCAGAAACCGATATGAATGAATTAGCCACATCCCTAGCCTCCACGCTCACAGACGAAAATAAAGACTACGTCTCCGCTGCACGTATTCAATCAGACTACCTTCATGACATTCCTACCGCAGCACGGCTGCTTTGCAAAGGTTCTCAGTTTGGCGACGCATGTCGGCTACTTGTCCTACACAACTATCAAGACCGAGTCTCCGAAATTGTTGACCATGGCCTTGCAGAAGCAATGGGAACTATGACCGAACTTCTAGCAGACTGCAGAAGCCAACTACAAGCACAGGTGCCACGGATACAGGAATTGCGAGCTAAACGCGCTGCTGACCCTCTGGGCTTTTATGGTGGTGACCCAACTGGTGCTGGTGCTGGAGACGTTGATATCCCTGACAATATTTCTCTTGCGCCAACGGACGCAAGTACAATGGCAGGTAGGAGTTTGTTCACCCGATATACTGGGGGAAGCAGTACGTCACGGGCTAGTAGCCGGATGAGGAAGAGAGAGGAACGCAGGCGTGCAAAGGGGAAGAAAGGAACTGTTTACGAAGAGGAGTACCTCGTAAATAGCGTGAGGCGGCTGATTGAGAAGGTGAACAGTTCAATTGAGGAAGTGGAAGCGTTGGTCCAAGGAATGCTGAGAAGGGGGATGCGCGAACGAGCAGCTGTAGTGGAGAAGAATCTTGATGAAGTTTTGGGTATGTGTAGGGATTGTCTGAGTGATGTCTTCGAGACCCCTGCAGAGGCCAGTTCGGATGCGCAGGACAAGGAAGATGAACCTCCTGCTGGTGCGATTTCAAGTGGGGAACGTGTTTATCTGGAGAGCATGGAAGCTCTCAAGGGCAAAGGGAGGGAACCGCCTGTGGTCAAGGCTTTTAAGAAGCTCTCTTTATTGGGTGGTTAAAAAAAATCAAATGGATGTGCAATGTATATACGGCTTCCGCCTCTTGTACGTTATACCCTAACATGAGAAAGTGAATATTTCGATATTTATTTCTTTTCTTATTAGAAAGATATACTCCATCAGTAGATGTATAAGGGGAAAAAAAATTGGAAGCCTCTCACAATCAAGCAGCGATGGTCAATATCTCGCCAGACTCGCTGACAAGATGCTCCTTTTTGCTGATTGGACCACCACCAACGCCAGTCAGAAACACTCTTCCTACACCCTTGGAAAGTAGCTCGGCCGCTCGAGGGTCGATGGACTTTTCGAGCAAGTTCGTATTCTTGATGTCTGCCGATTCCCAGCCCTCAGTTGCAGAAGTCAAGATAGACTTGAATGTTCCCAGGACGCAATCAGCATCCTTTTCTAGGTAGTATATAACGGCATTGGGGCCAGCATCAAAGGTATATGCGCAGACTGAGCGTCCAGCTGCACGATTTATGTCATGGACAGCCCTGATCGCGGCGCGAGACGTATCGTTCAAGTAAAAGGTTGGTGGCCAGGTATCCAAATTTGTGGCATGGAAACCATTGCTGTCTCTCATTGTGATTTCTGCAAAGGTCTCGAAGTTGCGCTCCTGGATTGACTTCTCAATTGCAGTCATACGTTCCGGTACGATGGACTGAGCACGGCTGGGAAACAGGGTCGATGTAGCAACGGTCAACTGCATTCCTTCCGTGCTTGGTACTTCTTTCTGTGCACCACTGACCACCAGAATAAGAGCTCGCATCTCTGGCCAATGGCTCTCGGGGGCAACTTGTTCGGCTATACTGTCACTGCCATCCTCCTTTTCGCCAGCTCTCCATGCAACGTATCCACCCATTAGCGAACGACAAGCAGAGCCAGATCCCTTGCGGGCTATTTTGCTCAATTCACTAGCCGACTGCGGTAACTGGTATAGATCCGCAACAGCGCGGACGAGAGCAGCAAATCCAGCAGCTGAGCTGGCCAGTCCAGCTGCCGTGGGGAAGTTGTTTTCAGACACAATGCGGAGTGGATAGGTAGAGAGCTTAGGTAGAGACGGGTCCGAGGATTCAATTTGCTGTCTGAGAGATCTTAGGTCTGCAAGACAGGCAAGAGTTCGCGGTGAGCCCTGGATGCTATGTGGTTTGTTGTTGAGGGTGAGGCTGTCGCCGTCTGCGGTGGGGTACTTTGAAGAGCATGATGCCGTGGTGTATGCGCGAAGAGAGCTCTGGGACAGTGTCACCGAGAGTGAGGAATTGGTAGGCAGATTGAGAGTGGCGTCTCTCTTCCCCCAGTATCTGTACAGGAAATTGAAGGTGGTTAGATGTTGTCCATGAACGGTTTGCTTCTTTGCTTCCCTCCCGCACCGGTCAGAGGTTCTGCTTACTTGATAACAGCAATATTGACCGGCGCAGTCGAGCTGGCACGGTAAACTCTCTGGTCATTAGTTGCAGCCATCTTCTGTCTCCCGGTCGTATGGATCAATCCTGTATGTAAATTGGAAGAAGCCTGGGAGCAAAGTTGGTGTGGTACTTGGTTGGGTTTTGGGTTCC